ACATGGTATCTTGGCACAGTTTTGCCAGTCTGAGAAGTGAAACATTCTCTCAGCGTAGTTTTCACTTGTATTCCTCTTATTATGACTAGAGTTGAGCATCTTTCCGTGTGACTAAGAGCCATTTATATTTCTTTATTTTGTGACTCGTGCATTTGTGTCCTTTGCTTATTTTTCAGTTACTTAAAACTCTTTGTTCTAGAATACCCCGGGCATTCATTGATCAACTTTTTACTAATTAACTGCTGTGCACCAGTCTCTGCAAAGGCACTGACTAGAGAGAGTTGAATAGGATGCTTGCCTTGCCTCCCAGAAGCTTACAATCTAATGAAGGAGCCATTATATCTATTATCTACCTGTCTGTCTGTCTGTCTGTCTGTCTGTCTGTTGGTTTATCTATCTGTCTGTCAATAGATATGTATGTATCTCTATTTATATGTATTTGTAGATATCGGTCTATCTATCTATCTATCTATCTATCTATCTATCTATCTATCTATCATCTATCATCTCTATATCTGTATGCAGACAGGCAGACACACACACACACACACACACAGCATAATGCCCAAGAATTATGATAAAGGGGTGTGAAAGGTGTTATGCGCCCTATAAGCTGGGTGAATGCCCATCCATGTTGGAATGGGCTAGAGGTCCGAGCACACACTTTCTAGGCGACAGGAGGTGAAGAGCCAGGCTGAGGACGTCCTGAGGATCTTTGGTCCTTGTTCCTTAGTGCTGCTCTCTGGCCCCCATTCCCCCACCCCCTCAGCACTCGTCACTTGGTGAGTGCTAAACTCGTGTTCCCTGGGTGCAGTAACTGAAGAAGAGACTGACGTAAGAGCCCTGCTGAGGTGTGAGAAGGCTGGAGTGGTGGGGTGGGGCAAGGTCATTGTCACCGGGCCAACTATGCCAGCATCCTGCTCTTTTTCTATCTTTTCCCTCACTGGCAGGCAATGTCGAAACTTTGAGTCTTCTCATTTTCAAGGAGCTGACCCATCAAGCTTGATTCTGGTTTTCTTTTTCCTTTTCATCTCTTGACTTCAGTTAAACTCCTGTTTCACTACCTGCATTACCCATTTCTCTCTCTGTGTGTTTCTCTCTTTTGTGGCTAGCATCCTTGGCACCCCTGACCCCTGCCAATCTCTCTCTCTCTCTTTCTCTCTCTCTCCAAACTCACAGAGACAGATGCTATATTAGCTTCCTAAGGCTGCTGTAACAAAATTATCACAAGCTTGGTGGCTTAAAACACCAGAAATTGGGGCCGGCCGAGTGGCTCAGTTGGTTAAGAGCTCGCTCAAGAGTTTGAGCTCTGAGCAACAGCAGTTTGATGCCCAGCCTGAGCTGAGCTGCCAACAGGTAGCAGGATGGCTGAGCTAGAAAAAAAACAAAACCAAAAAAAAACCACCAGAAATTTATTCTCTCCCAGTTCTGAAGGCCAGAAGTCCAAAATCCATGCGTCGGCAGGGCCAGGCTCTCTTGAAGGCTCTGGGGAGGATCGTTCCTTGCCTCTTCCTTGCTTCTGGTGGTTGCTAGCAATCCTTGGTGTTCCTCGGGTTATGGCAGCATCACTGTAGTTTCTGCCTTTGTCTTCACATGGCTGACTTCCCTCTGTGCGTATCTTTATACAAATTTTCCTTCCCTTAGAAAGACACCAGTAAAACCCACCCTCATCCAGTATGTCCTCATTTTAACTTGATTATATTTGCAAAGACCTTATTTCCAAATATATTACATTCCGAGGTATTGGAGGTCAGGCCTTCAACAAATCTTTTTTGGAGACACAACTTACATGTAACACACACCCTGCAATTGTATCTTGCCTGACAGTCTTCAGAGTCACTCATACTCCCTGCAGAAAGCTGATTATAGCACCTGGTTAAGAACACACATGTTGGTGCAGATCTGAGTTTAATTCCTGCCTCTGCCCCTTAGAACGTGACCTTGGACAATTTCACCCTAAGCTTCAGCTTCCACATCTGTAAAATGGGGAAAGTAGTCCAACCTACTCTACAGTTGTTGAATATTGGCTTAGCACAGGCCCTGACACATGGGGCATACTCAAAAAACAAGCCTCACTGTTATGTTGCAGTCCCATCAAATATTTAATATTCAATAGATCAGAGTTCGGAATAATGAAAGATTTTGTTCATTGAAATGGCACCATAATGAGGAGTTGAAAGATTTCTAGTTTTCTCAAATCCATCTTAAGAGCTGCCCAAGTTCCTGTGACCTATATATCCAGGCAAGAAAGAAGCGGGCGAGGCAAGAGGTGGGATCCTAGGAAGAGCAGGGGGAATCTCCAAATCTCTTTGTTCCCAGGTCAGACCAGAAGTTACCCGAGTCTCAGGCAGAGCCTCTTCAGTCAATTAGCATATCTATAGAAAGGCAGGCTGGAGTTAAGGTAGAGTCAGGGAGAGGAGCAGAAGCATTCCACCCTGTTATAGTTATGCAGGTGGACGAGTCTCTTTCCTCCTCCACTTGCAGGTAGTCACGTGAACTTGGAGCCCATCCTGATACCAGACTTGAGTCTCAGATGAATGCTCCGCAGACACAGGCCTACCCACTGTCAGCACATTGAGCCCCCTGGACTAGATGGTGTCAAATCAACTCAAGATTTATCTACGAGATGAGTTGAGCTTTCCTTTCTCTGCATCCCACCCTGTCCCTGCCTTGTCTGTGTGCCAGGCTTAAAGTGGCATAGCATAAATATAAGGAAAACAAGCTTTTGGGAATGGGGTGTGAACTTGGAGCACCCTAGTGGGATGCTCTTTGCACACAACTCCCCTCTCCCCTCCACTTTCTGTTTGTTCTGTAGGCAGGTGAATTCCCCACAGAATGGGATCGATCTCCCCTGCCTTGACTTTCTGCGTATTTCATGCTCTTTGATGCTGGTGTGGCTCTGAAGGAGTGGCTCTTAAAGACAAACCACCATTTGTTGTTGGAAAAAAAAAATGAAAAGAAAGAAAAAAAAACCACCAGTCTTTTATCTCTGTGCCCCTGTAAATTGCCAAAGGTCTTATTGTGGAGAGAAGGAACAAGTGGGGTTTTATCTTTCTGCCCTTGCCAGGCAGCCACGTGAACATCAAAGCTCTGGG